GGGTCTCAGCCTCAGGGACATGGGTGATCTGATCTGCAGAAGAAGCTTTTGGCATGAAACCCCACTCTGAGCGCCTGGCCCAGGACTCAGAGGGGCTGGAGGAGGGGAGCCAGGGGAGCTGGCGGAGCTGAGGGCCTGGTGTGGCCCTTCCCCCTCCACTAAGGGGAGCCAGTGGGTCAGCAAGATCCACTGTGCCCTGCAGCTGTCTTCAGGGACAAGGGACCGCCGCGTCACCTCCACTTTCCAGACCTCCCGCAGGTGTCTCTGCTGGCCGAGTGTGGCTTGGAAACACCTAGCTAGGGGATTCTGGGAAACGTAGCTCCAGCTGACCCTTGTGGACACACTACACAGCCACCAGGGGTGGTAGGTCGTTTTTTGTTTTTTTGGGTTTTTTGCATTTTATAGGTGCTTAGAGGGAGGGAGGTTCGGTGACTTGCCCAGAGTCACACAGTTATTAAGTGAGACTTCTGCTTGGGTGCCTTTAATTATCATGCGATACTTCTACTTTATTACATCAGGAACCCCCTGCCCGGTTCCTCCAGTATTCCAGTCCATGGAAAGCTTCTCCAAGGTAAAGGGTGGGTCCTGAGTGCTCCTTCACCCTTGTTAAGTCACCACGGACACCAACCACAGTTTCTCTTATGCTTCTTTACATTGCCCCATGTGTGGCTTTCTCCAGGTAATGAGTTCCCTGTTTCCTGTATAGGAGCACTACCATGCTGTGTTTGGGGCTCACCATTAGCACCTAGTGTGGCTGTTTGGTGAGATAAGTTAGCTTGTGGATAATGCATCGTGTGCCTTTAACAACAATTACTACCATACCAGCTGCCTGCCAGGGGCTGTGGGTATCACACTGCTCTTTGTGGAAGAGAAAATTGAGATCTGAGAGCCTCAGTTTGTCTCCCCAGTGAGAAGTGGAGTCTAGTTTGAGCAAAGATCTGCTGGTGCCTCACTGCCGTTTATCAGCCAAGCCTGCGTTCAGCAGTGAGCTCCCCAGGTGAGCAGAGCCAGGGGAGGACCAGCAAAGCCCACTGACTCTTCTCAAGATGCATCTGGGGGTGGGAGGGCTACCCCAAATCCCAGCTCCCTGGGGCTTAGATGGGGTGAACACAGTCTTTCTCTGTCTCTGAAAAGGTAGGGATAAGGGTTTTGTGGGCAGATTGGGTGGAGCTAGAAAGGTTTCAGGCATGGGGTGAGCACAGTGAGAATTCAGGTCCTCAATCTGGGGTCTCACCGTACCTAATGACTGTCTCAATCTCCCAGTTTAGGCTTTTTGAATCCTGTCTTCATGTGGGTCTGTGTTTGTGTGTGATTCCTTATCATATTTGCATTTTTTTCTTATTCATCTTGTTGTTGTTCAGTCGCTCAGTTGTGCGACCCCATGGACCTCAGCTCACCCGGCTTCCCTGTCCTTCACCATCTCGCAGAGTTTGTCAAACTCATGTCCATTGAATCAGTGATGCCATCCAACCATCTTATCCTCTGTTACCCCCTTTTCCTCTTGCCCTTGGTCTTAACCAGCACAAGGGTTTTTTTTTTAAATGAGTCAGCTCTTCACATCAGATAGCCAAAATATTGGAGCATCAGTCCTTCCAATGAATATTCAGGGTCGATTTCCTTTAGGATTGATTGGGTTGATTTCCTTGCTGTCCAAAGGACTCTCAAGAGTCTTCTCCAGCAACACAGTTCAAAAGCATCAGTTCTTTGGTGCTCAGCCTTCTTTACGGTTCAACTCTCACATCTGTACATGACTATTGAAAAAATCATACCTTTGACCCTATAGACCTTTGTTGGCAAAGTGATGTCTCTGCTTTTTAATACACTGTCTAATTTTGTCATAGCTTTTCTTCCAAGGAGCAAGTGTCTTTTAATTTCATGGCTGCACTCTGGGTCGGCAGTGATTTTGGAGCCCAAGAAAATAAAGTTTGTCAGTGTTTCCCCATCTATTTGCTAAGAAGTGATGGGACCAGATGCCATGATCTTCGTTTATTGAAAGTTGAATTTTAAGCCAGCTTTTTCACTCTCTCCTTTCACCTTCATCAGGAGGCTCTTTAGTTCCTCTTCACTTTCTGCCATTAGAGTGGTTATTGATATTTCTCCCAGCAGTCTTGATTCCAGCTTGAGCTTCATCCAGCCAGGCATTTCCCATGATGCACTCTGCATAGAAGTTAAACAGGATGACATTATACAGCTTTGATATACTCCTTTCCCAATTTTGAACTAGTCCACTGTTCCATGTCTAGTTCTAGTTATTGCTACCATCTCGCTTAATTAGACTGAGTTCCCCCATGAAGAAAGCTTTGATTTGGGGAGTGGGGGGGTCCTTCCCCAACACCACTCCAACCCCCTGTTATGTAACGTCATGCACAGCAGGGACTTGGGATCTGCCAAGAGGCCAGGTTTGGCATAGTCCTTACTGATCTTTTGAGGAGCTGAAACTTTGATATGGTGACTATTCTAAAAAACTGCAAAATTTGGGATAGTTTTAGATTTATGCATCAGTTACAAAGACAGGGTTTCCCTGATAGCTCAGTTGGTAAAGAATCCACCTGCAATGAAGGAGACCCTGGTTCAATTCCTGGGTTGGGAAGATCAGCTGGAGAAGTGATAGGCTAGCCACTCCAGTATTCTGGCCTGCAGAATTCCATGGACTGTATAGTCCATGGGGTCACAAAGAGTTGGATATAACTGAGCGACTTTCACTTCACTTACAAAGACATTACAGAGAGGTCCCATATGCCCTTCCTCCAGCCTTCCTTGATATTAACATCTCATGCAGATAGCCAAGGTGCCTTTACTCACACTACGAGATGATGATGATGATGTTCAGTCACTGAGTCGTGTCCAGCTCTTCTCGACCCCATGGACTGTAGCCCGCCAGGTTCCTCTGTCCATGGGATTTCCCAGGCAAGAATACTGGAGTGGGGTTGCCATTTACTCCTCCAGGGGATCTTCCCAAACCAGGGATCCGACTCGCATCTCCTCCATTGGCAGGCGTGTTCTTTACCTCTGAGCCACCTGGGAAGAACACTATGAGATGACAACACAGTTAACAGAACCGCAGCCTCTGCCCTGACTTCCCCAGATTCCTGCTGATGACCTTTGCTGCCTCTGTGGCATTTTATCCTCACGTCTCCTTCGCCTCCAACCTGGGACACTGTCTCAGTGGTTCCTGTCTTTCATGATCTTGACATGTATGAAAAGTAGTGCTCAGGTGTTTTATAGACCGTCCTCAATACTGTTTATGTTTTTTCACAATTCAGCTGAGGTTATGGATTTGGGGTAGGACACGCAGAGGCGTCCTTCTCACGTCCCATCCTATCCGGAGGCACGTGGTAGCAGTATCATTGAGTGTGGACATGCTCACCTTGCTCACTCGCCTGGTTTCTACCCTATAAAGTTATGCTCGGGTTGGCCAAGAAGTTCGTTTGGGTTTCTCTTTAAAATGTTATGGAAAAACCCAAATGAACTTTCTGGCGAAATTTGTTTTTCTGTATTCTGTTAGATTTGGGTCAGGAGTTGAGCTGACACGCAAAGGACCAGGGGATTAGGCTGTGCCTTTTGGGGGTGGGGCGCAGTGAAGGATTTGTGGACATAAGTTAAAGCCAACCACCACTGGTCAGTGTTGTGGAGGAGGTGCTTTGCAGATACCCCGTTTCCAGCGAGGTGAGTTTTCAAATCAGTTTACTCAGGTTTGAACCTGGGAAGCAGGCTGTCTTCCTAGCTTTCTGTTACTTGGTTATTTGAATAATAAAATGCTTAAGGAATTCTGTTCTTTGAGTATGTGTGTGTGCATGCTCAGTTGTGTCCAACTCTTTGTGATCTCATGAACTATAGCTCACCAAGCTCCTCTGTCCGTGGGATTTTCCAGGCAAGAATACTGGGGTGGGTTGCTATTTCCTTCTCCAGGGATCTTCCTGTCCCAGGGATTGAACTTGCATCTCTTGCTTCTCCTGCAGTGGCAGGCATATTCTTTACCACTGCGCCACTTAGGAAACCCATTCTTCAAGTACATATGATGCTTTATCAGATTTCTGCTGGCAGTGGCATTTTCATATTGGGGGATCTGGAGCTTGTGTCTCATGGGAGTGATGCCTGGGAGCCCTAAGCTGAGAGTTTCCATGGGTCCTGCTGTCAGGCAGCAGATACAGTGCTACTCACTTTTGCATGTGATTCACTCTCTTGCTTCCAAAGGTGAGCTAACAACTTAGAGGAAGTGCTAAGATAACATCAACAGCAAGCTATATTTTTAGATGCCTGTCCTACCTTCTAGGCTATATTTGAACTTCCAGCTGCTTGTATGAAGTTAAGGAAAGAATATGGCTAGGAATAGCCATATTGATCAGTTATAATTGACCCTGTGGCAAGTTCAGTTGGCCCTGTTCTCAAGCCAGTGGTCTACTTACATGTTCCCAACTTTGCAATCAGCTGCTTTTTGACTTATCCTTGGAAAACTCTACATAGAAGTTACTGTTGTTAGCACTTTGACCAACTCTGTTATTGATCAATGATTGCCAACCATTTTGGCAGAATAGTGGGAAGGGAAATCTCCTACAGGAAAAGAATCTGTAATGGGTTTCTTAGGTTTCTAAAGAAATATAAATCCGGATTATGTGTTTCTGATCATCCTTTTCAGTTTCCAGTGACACAGGTAACTGAGGTATAAAAGCAAGCGATACACTCCCACCTGGTGGCAGCATCAGTCACTAAGTGACTCTGCCACCCCGTGGACTGCAGCCCACCAGGCTCCTCTGTCCACGGGGTTTCCCGGGCAAGAATACTGCAGTGAGTTGCCATGCCCTCCTCCAGGGGATCTTCCCCACCCAGGGATCAAACCCACATCTCCTGCCTTGGTGAGCAGACTCCTTACTGCTGAGCCACCAGGTAAGCTGGAGTGGCAGCGTACTCAACTGTTAACTCTGGGAGCGAAGGCCGGTGGTGTGCCGATCATCTGCTCTGGCATGAGCTGACCCACTGAAATCTGGAACTTCCTCTTCTAGGATGACTTCCTGTTCAGCGTCTCCATTTTAAGTGGGATCCTGTGCAGCATCCTGGCTGTGCTGAAGTTCATGCTGGGGAAGGTTCTGACCAGCAGAGCTCTCATAACAGACGGTGAGTAAGGCCCGTGTGCCTGGCCTCTGGCGGCTGAGCTCACGGTGGGGGAAGGTGCTGTGTGGGGTAAGGCCCCTGGCCTCTGGGGGCTGAGCTCACGGTGGGGGAAGGTGCTGTGTGCGTCTCTTTCAGCTGCTCGTCTTGCAGAAGAGTGCAACAGCCTGCAGTCTGTTCCCCACTGTCCTCCCTTCCCCAGGCTGTGTCATGATTCTCAGGGTTCCCTATCAGGGCAGATGTTCTGTGTCTGGGAATTGAAGATGCTCATCCTAAAGCACCTCCACCTGGACCTCCTAACAGGGTAACTCAGGGCTTCCCCCCAATCAGAGAGCACAAAGGGCTTCCCAGAGTCTTGTGTTGGTTGTGTATCACTCCAAATAAAAAGTAAGCATCTTCCCTGGATCCTATGACGGTCTGGTGCGTGCTCCACACCCATTTCCCTCTTAGCTGGGAGTTCAGGTTGCAGTGACTAGGGCTTCACTGGGGAAACGAGCCACGTGTACTCTGCTGAAGACCGGAACCAGGTCGACGTGTCCCTCTGTGTCCTGTGGGTCAGAAGGAGCCTCCTGTGTGGCCTTGGGGCTGACGGAGAAGGGTATGTGAAAGTAGGAAAAGCACTTTTCAGTTTTTGCAAACTAGTGCTGGCGTGTAAACTAGAAATGTGATGAACACAACCTCCCGGCTGTTTTCTTTCTCTTTATCCCAGGGCGTGTGAAGTTTCTGAGGGTCGGGAGCAGAGACGTGCGCCCCTGTGCCCTGGGGTGGGAGGTCACAGGTCCTAGCTGGTGGGCTGGTGGATGTGCCTGTATAAAGTAGAGCAGAGATCATAGGATTTTTTGTTCCCCTCCTCGGCCACACCACGAGGCTTGTGGCATCTTAGTTCCCTGACCAGCAATTGAACCCAGGTCCCTGGCAGTGAGAGCGCTAAATCCTAACCATAGACCTCCAGGCAATTGCCATGATTTCCTTTTAAAGAATCACTCCCAGCTCCTCAGACTCTCAGAGTTCTCTTCTATGTGAAATATGTGGGTGCAAAAGCCTGTGGGTGGCTGCTTTTCCTTAAACATGAGGAACGGGAAGGCGGGCCTGGGGGGAGGCTGCACTGGTCAACACAGTGTACATGCTCAGTCACTCCAGTCGCGTCCAGCTTTTTGTGACCCTCTATGGGCTGTAGCCTGCCAGGCTCCTCTATCCATGGAATTGTCCAGGTAAGAATACTGGAGTGGGTTGCCATTTCCTCCTCCAAGGGATCTTCGCTACCCAGGGATTGAACCCATGTCTCTTATGTCTCCTGCATTGGCAGGCGGGTTCTTTACCACTAGTATCACCTGGGAAGCCCTGCGTTATTCCCGTAAGTCTGTTGTATGTTATACCCTTAAGTCACAGAGTCTCTGTGCTGATAGAGCATCAGCACTTTCTCTGTTCAGTTGACTACAGCTGAGATGCTGGACCAGAAGCCCCAGCAGTCAGACCATGCTCCCCCAGCTGCCAGGCAGGAGGCCCTGTCCCCTTCCCACCCATGACCCTGAGGCTTGACCCCCTTCTTGTGAAGTTTCTGAGGGTCGGGAGCAGAGACGTGCGCCCCTGTGCCCTGGGGTGGGAGGTCACAGGTCCTAGCTGGTGGGCTGGTGGATGTGCCTGCATAAAGTAGAGCAGAGATCATAGGATTTTTTGTTCCCCTCCTCGGCCACACCACGAAGCTTGTGGCATCTTAGTTCCCTGACCAGCGATTGAACCCAGGTCCCTGGCAGTGAGAGCGCTGAATCCTAACCATAGACCTCCAGGGAATTGCCATGATTTCTTTTTAAAGAACCACTCCCAGCTCCTCAGACTCTCAGAGTTCTCTTCTATGTGAAATATGTGGGTGCAAAATCCTGTGGGTGGCTGCTTTTCCTTAAACATGAGGAACGGGAAGGCGGGCCTGGGGGGAGGCTGCCCTGGTCAACACAGTGTACATGCTCAGTCACTCCAGTCGCGTCCAGCTTTTTGTGACCCTCTTTGGGCTGTAGCCTGCCAGGCTCCTCTATCCATGGAATTGTCCAGGTAAGAATACTGGAGTGGGTTGCCATTTCCTCCTCCAAGGGATCTTTGCTACCCAGGGATTGAACCCATGTCTCTTATGTCTCCTGCATTGGCAGGCGGGTTCTTTACCACTAGTATCACCTGGGAAGCCCTGCGTTATTCCTGTAAGTCTGTTGTATGTTACACCCTTAAGTCACAGAGTCTCTGTGCTGATAGAGCATCAGCACTTTCTCTGTTCAGTTGACTACAGCTGAGATGCTGGACCGGAAGCCCCAGCAGTCAGACCATGCTCCCCCAGCTGCCAGGCAGGAGGCCCTGTCCCCTTCCCACCCATGACCCTGAGGCTTGACCCCCTTCTTCTCAGAATAGTGGGACCTCTCCCATGACAGGCGGCCTTCCTTAATATTTTGAGAGAAGCTCCTGATGATAAGTATGTGTTTTCTAATGAAGTGACGCTGGATTCTATAGTTTTCACCTACAAAACCATCCAAACACGTAAGTGGTCTTCCCATCTGCCTCCTTGAACCTCAGGAAGGGGTCATTACAAGGAGGAGTGAATAGTTTAAGGGAAAATTGTCCCACAAACAGGCAAAGTGGAGACAGGCACTCCTCAGGCAGAGGGAACCGAGGTGGGAGGGAGCCTTCAGCCTTGGTAGGGGGTGGGGGTGGGGCTGTTGTGAGGAAGGGTCACAGGGTGAGGGGCCCTGCCAAGTGGGCAAGGGTGGACCATTCCGTATGCTAGGTCAAGCGTGGGATTTTGGATGTTTTGTTAAATATTTAAACAGATGAGGTGGTGACATGGTGGATGTTTTTAAATGATCCTTCTGGCCATCAAGGTGGAGAACAGAGCAGAGAAACTTCTGGGAGGGAGGGACCTCTGGGGAACCCAGGGGTGGTGGCCTCAGTGGGTGAGGGCAGAGGGGTGGGATGTGGGGGAATTGAGGAAATGTCGGTGATGTTTATAAAACGGGCAGAGCTGAGGGACAAACAGGCCGTGAAAGTTGAGGAGAGACAGAGCAAGGCTGTTGCAAAGAGCGGAGGCAGCACCCCCCCCACCCCAAGCCTGCCCATGAGCCTCGTTGCCTGGGGGCCAGGGGGGAGGTTTGGTGCACTCTGCAATCCCTCACTTAGTGGGAGTATCAGCAAAATATGCAGCAGTAATTACAGCCTCCTGCTAATTGCATTGTCTGGGATCCTGATTTTCCTCATTCATTGATTAGCAGAACCATCTGTAATTATGTCCTCACTTGGGGAGGTAGGCGGTAGGCTAGGGCTCAGGAGCCCTGCCTGCTATTCATGTTGGTTTGGCCCAGGGCAGGGGAGCAGGCCAAGTGCTTTCTCTCCAAGAAGGAAGCAAGTCTAGCAAATTGCTTCTGGTGCCGAGAGGCCAGGCGGGTCTCACCTGTCACCTGGTGAGGTGGCTGATTCCCAAGCTGGCGCTGTGTGTGAAATGGGTGGGGCCATGTGTGCACTGGGCCAGGCTGACTCCACCAGATCCGGTGTCCCTGGGTCCTGTCCTTACAGTCAGGAAGCATATCTTCAGGGGAAGGGAGGGAGCAGGGTGCAGGTGGAGTCCAGACTTCCCCACGCTGTGCAGGAAATTGTGTTTAATTGGGTTTTCTTGCTCTGGATATTTAGTGATGTGATAGCATGCGATCATGGCTATCAGGACTAGGCTGAAGCTGGCTTTGTATTATTTAAGACAAAATGATTTTGTTCAGGAAGTTAATCCTACAGATCAGACAGAGGAAGATTGTGGCAAGGTCCGTGGGGGGAGTTCTGAACCCTCAAGGGGCTCCAGAGCTGCCCATAGGACAGCTGGAAACCTCTCTGAGTTGAGGGGCTGGGGCTGACTCGACCCAGAGCCTGTGGTGGGTTTCAAGTACACGAACAACTTTGAATCAGAATTTTCTGCATAAAATCAATATGTGCTTAATTATCTAGATGCTTATCTAGTCATTAAAGCCAGACCGTTAAAGCCCCTAATCAAGATTGCCTCAGACGTTCTTATGTGCTCCGAGGTGATGACAGCATTTACTTTTTGCAGCTGCTCTGTTTGTTTGTTTTTTTTTAATTAATGTATTTTAATTGGAGGCTAATTACTTTACAATATTGTAGTGGTTTTTGCCATGCATTGACATGAATCAGCCATGGGTGTACACGTGTTCCCCATCCTGAACCCCCCTTCCACCTCCCTCCCCATCCCATCCCTCTGGGTCGTCCCAGTGAACCAGCCTTGAACACCCTGTCTCATGCATCGAACCTGGACTGGTGATCTGTTTCACATATGGTAATATACATGTTTCAGTGATATTCTCTCAGATCATCCCACCCTAGCCTTTTGACAGGGGACACGGGAACGAGCTTATGGGCATGGAAGGTGGGGGTTGGGCCCTGGGGGTTGGGGGCTTGTTGGGGCCTTTTGGGTGGTTTTGTTAGGTTGGAGGTCTGCGGGGTGGGGCTGTGAGCTTAGGGTCCTTCATGGGGAATGGCTGTAGCTGGGGAGGCTCTAGAATCCTGGAGGATGTGGAAGGGCAGATACAGAATTGTCCCCTGGTCCCGGTGTGCTGGTTCCAGTGTTTCCGCCAGGCTCACAAGAGATGCAGCTGAAATAAGCCATAACTAAAGGTGGGCGGAGAAGGTCAGATGCTCCTGGAGGGGATGGGTGAACGAGGTGAAAAGTTCCATCAGCTGTAGGGGCATGTGGGTTCCCCCACTGTCCTGGACTGGCTGAGCCCGGTGATTTGGTGGAGCGAGTAGACATCTAGTGGCCGTCTGGGGGAACCTCACTGTCTACACTGAGCTCCAGTGGGCTTGCTGAAGGCTCCGGGGCCACTGTGCCCGTGACGAGGGTGGAGAAAGAGGGGTGTGGGATTCTAGTCGGCCGGGGGCAGCGGCCATCTCCTTCCTATCTCTGCCTTTCCCCGGCCACCCCTCAAAACAGAACTTCCCCAACTTTGAGGATGCTTGAGAGGTAAATGCCAGCCCAGGTAGCCCCTGGACAGAGTAATGGCTTCTGTGGATGCTCTGTGTGGCCCTCTGTGAGAAGAGTGGGCTCCAGAGACTTTTTTGAAAAGAAGACTGGTCTGATTCTGTGCATGCTTGTGTGGTTAAGTCGCTTCAGTCGTGTCCGACTCTTTGTGACCCTATGGACCGTAGCCCCCCAGGCTCCTTTGTCCGTGGAATTCTCCAGGCAAGAATTTTGGAGTGGGTTGCATGCCCTTCTCCAGGGGATCTTCCCAACCCAGGGATCTAACTTGTCTCTAGCACTTCCTACATTGGCAGGCGGGTTCTTTACCACTAGCACCATCTAGAGTCTGATTCCATTTGTTATTAATAAAAAGAATAAGAGGATTGAAGGGACAGCCAGAGGCAAGAGGGTGAATGCCAGCCTCTTATAATGGGAGAGAGGAAACACTGTGATGATCTTGATGTGTCAGAAGACAGGAGGGAATTATGACCTTGCCGTTCTGAGTGAACCTGCTATCCCCCTATTTGGGGAGACTGGAGGCAGAATGGAGGGTGTGATATGTAGAGGCTGAAACCAGGGGTGGCTCAGAGAGGGAGGAAGTTCCAGGTGCCCCACATGCTAGGAGCTGGGAAAGACTCGGCTGGCCCCCAGCTTCCCATGAGGTGACAGAAGGCTGGAGGGGCATCAGCTCCATGAGCTGCGTGGAGAACATAGACAGAAGGCAAGCAGAGTCCACTTCATTATCTGGAGGTGAATGAGCCTGGAGGAGCCCCAGAAACTCACAGCACAGGGGCCTGGGCTGCAGCCTTGCCCCAGGCACCCTGAGAAGGGGCACCCAGGGAGTCGCCTGCCCCTGGCCTCCGCGGCGGGGAGATGGAAGGCTGAGAGATCTGGCCTTGGGACTCGGTGTGGTAGGACACATCTTGGATGAAGCTCACGCCAGCCCTGCCCTCCCGCTCCCCCCAGGACACCCAGCGGAAGCTCCTCGTCAGACTGGCTATCTACCAAGGAGGCCTCAGTGGGTGAGGGGTGGGAGGCTCACGATGGCGCGGTGGGCAGAGATCCCAGGTACACAGCGGGGCAGGAGGGGCCCGCCTGGAACAGCCCTCACCAGCTGCAGGCACCCAGCAGGTCCCGGACTCCTCCACACGGTTCCCTGGACTAGCCTCTGGAGCATGTGGCCCCAGTTGGGGAAGGTGGAGGGGTTCACCTTTCCTCATTCTTGTCTCCTGCATTGAGGTGGTCTGGGTTGGACAGGTCCACCAGGCATGAACCTTGTGGAGTGGGGAGGTTGTCTCTCCACGCGACCCCCAACCACACCCCGAAGTCCAGGAGTAAGCCCTCTGCCTCCTGGTGGCTGTCCCCCCGGAGCTCTGGCTGCAGGCTCTGCCTCCGTAGGGAGACCCCAGGGCCCGGGCCGTGGGGGCCTCATCTCTCTTGGGACAACTCAGCCCGGTGAGTAGGCATCCTCTTAGCAAGACAGGCCCTTCTGTCCATCTGTGAAGTCAGTATGGACGCAGCAGTCAGTCGAGGTCCCGAGCAGTGGCAGCCTCCATTCTGGGACTCAGAATACAGCAGGAGAAAGACAAAACTCCTATCCATAAGCTCCATTTCTGGTGGGAAAGAGAGGGATGTTTGTAAAAAGAAAAATGGTAAAAAAAACACCACGGGATGAAGAGCCCTGGAAAAGTGAAAGAGGGGCAAGGACGAGAAGGTAGGAGGGTGTGTCGGGGCTGAGTTCAGGCCGGGGAGGCGGCGGCCTGGGAGACCCCAGGAGGAGGGGTCCAGGAGGGTGGTGGTCAAGTCCAGTGTGGCCGGAGCACAGGGGTGAGGAGGTCGGTGGACCTGATGTGGACACGGCAGTAGGGGCTGGTCACACACGGCAGGGCTTGTCGGCCGTGAAGACTGCACAGGTTCCAGGGGGGCAGCTTGTCTACTGGAGGGTCTTGGCTGCTGTCCACTACCACGGTCACTCTGGCTGCTGCGAGCGGAATCATTGTGAGGAGGGAGATGTGGGCAGGAGGGGAAGGGGATGGAGGAGGAAGGAGGGGGGCTGGGGCTGGGGGTGGATGGAGCATGACTCTTGGAGGGAACAGTTGAGAAGAATGACTTGATGGCTAGATTAGATTTGCAGGTGAGGAAAGTCCAGGATGGACTTCTAGGGTTGTAGCTTCAGCAGCTAGGTGGATAGGGGCGCTGTTTACACAGAAGGTGGCTGAAAGGTAAGACGTTTGGAGGCAGAATGTTTTGTTCTGAACATGTTCAGTGTGAGATGCTTCTGTGTCTGCAGCTGAGGGGGAAGGTCAAGATGAAAGGGAGCTAGGGATTTTGGCTTATGGGATGGAGGTGAGAACCTGGGGGAAGAATGTTGATGGAGGAGGACTTCGGGGGACTAAGCCAGGAACTCGGATGGGGGTGACTAGGAGGATCTAGTGAAGAAGAGTGAGAAGGAACAGCTGGAGGGAAGCATTCCCAGGAGGGCGTAAGACGAGCTCGGGGAGGCAGCCATGGCTTGTGACAGCCTTGAGCCATCCATGACCAGGGAGGGCGGGATCTAAGGGTGGGGTCGGGTAAAGAGAACGGGGGGTAGGCTGGGGTAGATAGCTCTTCAGGGAGCTTTGCAAAGGGAGGTAGTGAATGGGGGTTGTGTTGGGGGTGGCATGGAGTCAAGGGAGGAGGTGGAGGTTTATCCCAGTGGGAGTGATCCAGGAGAGGAAGAAGAAATTCAAGAACGAAGTCCTTCAGTGAATAGAGACAAAGGTGCTGGTCTGACATAGGAACAGCGGTAACTGGAGAAGCAGCTGAGGATGTGGGGGCATGGGAGAGTGATGCGTCTGGTGTTGGCAAGATGAGGCATTGTGATCTGAACCTATGTGCTCTAAGACGTGCAAGGCCGAGTTCTCAGTTGAGAACTGGAGCCGGGAGGTGATGGAGGTCTGAGGGGAGAGACGCGTGTGTGATGCAGACACCAGAGATGACCTTGCAGGCCTCGCTTCACCTGGGTCCCATTGTTGGAGGCAGCCTGTTGAGGTCTACCCCGTGGATCCTGAGAAGGGATTTGGCCTGAGTCATCTTTGCCCTACACTCTTCTTCCTTTTCCCCTGCTCTTCATTTAGAATGCCCCCTAGTGGTATACAGCCCCCACTGAATGCATTGAAGATTGATCTCAATTCTCCCGCTGGAAACTGGAGTTATCGCTTTTGAGTTCAGCAGAAGCGTAGCGCCCTCACACAGGCCGGGCTGCCTGAGAATGGACCAGGGCCTGCTGTTGGAGATGTTCTGGCCTGCCTGGGCAGTGTGGGCCTGCCTGCGGCTGCTCTTAAGTGCTCAATTACACTGAGGCAGGCAAGGAGCCTTGTGGCTCACAGCACAGTGAGCCCCTGGGAGCCCCTCTAAGCCGTTCCCTCTCGTGTGGCCTTGGAAAGCCTACAAGTAGACTGGAAGTGTGACATCCAAGTTGTAGGGGCCCATGGAGGTGACACATGGGGAGGAGATGGTGATTGAGGTGTGCTGTGTCCTGTTCTTGTTTGATTGCTGTTTCTGTAGCTAATTCGAGACTTTGCATGTCCTTCCTGGAGAGTGAAAAGCTTCAGGTGACTTAGGGAGACTGTTGGGAAAGGATGTGGGTTCTGGTATCACCCCACCCTTGCCCCTTTCAATCCATGTAACCCTGGTCAGTTTATTGAACCTCACTCATTCTGTTCAACTTAAGTTTTATTGTTGGTAAAATGGGGGGTGATAATCTGACTTCACAGAATTGAGAAGATCCCAACTCTGTACTTGCCCAGCAGACATCAGACAGATATGAGTCCCTGAGCATTGCATGTGTCCCGTGTGTTCAGCAGGCCTGGCGCCCCACCCCTCTCCCTCTCAAGGCCTGCGTTCTAGCGTGTGAGAGGGAGGCATTGGGAGCCACATACAGACTACATCACTTGAGCACGAGTGCCTGGCAGGGGATGGACACTGATAATGGGGGTGATAACTATCCAGGGGGTCTCTGGTGACATCTGAGCGGAGACTTGGCAAGCCACGTAGGTGTCTGAGGTGGTGGCTATCGCTTGCAAAGTGCTTCTGGAACATTCCTTCCAGTGCACGTTCTGGAATGCAGAGGCACACCTGGCATTTGGGGGCTTTTCCTTGTGGCCACGCTGGGCACTGGCCTCAGCCTCTCTCTGCTTCCCTTGCAGGGTTTAACTCCCTCGTGGGAGGCGTGATGGGCTTCTCCATCCTTCTGAGCGCAGAGGTGTTCAAGCACAACTCGGCTGTCTGGTACCTGGACGGCAGCATCGGCGTGCTGATCGGCCTCACCATATTCGCCTACGGGGTCAAGTAAGTGCTGCTTCCTCTTTGCACTCTGAGCGGCCAGGGGTGCTATATTCCCCACGTCTGATAACTACATCCTGTCCCTGTGACCCTCCTGCTCCTGGGTGAGGTTGGGGACTGGAAAAGTCCCGAGCAGCCGTCACACATCCTTGTGGTCCTCCCTTTAACTCTTGGTGCCAGGAGATCTGTGCCCCTTCCTTCCTCTATAGTGAGGGTCATGATGATGCACCAGGCGGGCCTGTGTGTTATCCTCATCCACTAGCCCCCTCTGCCACCTGCTGCAGTCAGTGGGGAGGTTGTAGAGGGGGCTAAAGCCCCCAGATTGAGAAAACTTTTTATAAAAGGGACTTTGTGCAGAAGGGCTGCACGTAGAAAAACCCACCCAGGCCTCGGGTTCTAGTCTAGCCCAAGGCCACTCACTGAAGTGCCCTGTAGGCATGCCTGGCTCTGTATCCAGCGACCAGACTGGAGTCAGCCTCTGAAAAGAAAACAGTTTCTCAACCTTTTAAATGTTCACACACACTTCTCTCTCCCATAAGGATGGCTTTAATAAAAGAGACAGTAAGTGTTGGTGAGGTTAAGGAGAAATCAAGACTCCATATTCTGTTGGTGGGGATATAAAATTGTTTAGCCCTTTCAGGGGTAGCAGTTTCTCTGTGTTAAACACAGAGTTGCTATTTGGCCTAGCAATTCCACTCCTCGGTACATAATCCAGAGAAATGAAAACACATCCATGTAAAAACTTATGAACGATCGTAGTGGCATTATTCACAGTGGGCAAAAAGTAGAAAAAACTCGTATGCCCAACATACAACCCATATGCGGGTTTTAAAGAACACAAATGTCCATTGATTAAATAAAAGGTGGTAGAGACATAGTGGAGGATTTATTCAGCCAGAAGAAGAATGAAATACTGATTTGTGCCAAATGGATGAACCTTGAAAACACGCCCAATGGGAGAAGTCAGTTACAGAAGGCTAGATGGTGCATGATTCCAGTTATAGTCAATACCTCAAACAGGCAAATATTTAGAGAAAGTAGATTAGTGGTTGCTGCGGGGGGTGAGGTGGGGAGTGACTGCTAGTGAGGTTTTTTTTTGGGCGGGGAGGGTGATGAAAATGTTCTAGAATTAGGTGGCGGTGACGATTGCACTGCCTATGTGTACACTAAAAACCACCGAATCGCAGGAATTTTATGGTATGTGAATTGTATTTATAGAAACAAAGCCCCCATCTGTCCCCCAAGCCCAGGGCTGTGGAGGGTCCTTGTTGGGGTGACTGGTCCGCTTCCTCCTTGCAGACTCCTCATCGACATGGTGCCCAGGGTGAGGCAGACGCGCCACTATGAGATGTTTGAGTGAAGGTGGCCCGCGCCGGCTGCCCCGCAGCTGCATGAAGACTGTCAGGACCAGGAGACGTTTCCACGCAGGCAGACGGTGCCCATGTTTAACTGAACATCAGCTTCTCTCTCGGAAAGCTTGTGCTCACGGGAACGAGGTCTACCCCGCAGGTCGGACTGCCCTGCTCTCCTCCCACCACCGCCCCCCCGCCTGACACCGCAGGACAACACTCACCGAGCGGGGACCCTCCCTGGGAACCGACCTCGTCTACCTTCTGCCGTAAAACAGGTTCGTGTGGGGAGGGTACACGCCCTTCTGTGGTGCTCCCAGCCTGACACGGATAGTGACTCACCAGGCCCACCTCGGGGCCCCACGGGGGCCGAGTCTCTGGTCTCCTGGCAGATTTTAAGAGAGGACCGTACCCTTTGGTCCCGCACCCCTTTCCAGAACCATCGTGTAGATCACCTCCTAATTTCTATCCGTGTATTTCATTCGTTTCATACTGTTTTACTAATCCTCAATCTAAACACTGGATTTGTTCTAAAGGAGACCGTTCTATTTTTAAAGTACTTAGTGATAGATGTATGAGCTTTGCATGGATCGAACTCAGCCCCAATCCTTTCTTGTACGTTCAGAGCCCAAACATATATGTGTAAACACAGGATCCCTTTTGGAGAGGTGTGAAACTACAGTTTATTTGTAATAAATTATATAATCTATCCATAGATGCATAGATCTATACGCTGTGTGAAGTGGTAATGGTACATCACAGTCTTCTCGTGATGGCTTCCTCCTCTGTAAGGAATGAGATGTTCTCGGTTTATGTAGCGTTAGTCGTAGACTCTGTACAAAACGGTCCCCACGTGCAACATTCTGTCCTCCAGCGCTGCTGCTTGTCCAGGCAGCGGTGACCAATAAAGACCTTTTCCTGTTTTGTATGGCATGGGGAGGTGATCGCCAGTGACAACTGCTGTGCGCAGGTTTTCTGTCGCAGGTGGAGGACGACTTGTGCCCGGGTAGAGGCCCTGACGGGCAGGCGGTCTGTTCTAAGAGGTCACTGACCTTGTTCAGTCCGATGCTTTCAAGAGTGCTTTTCTCCAACGGCATTCTGAAGCATGTTCTAGGGGCTGTTACCATGTCACACACACAGACCAGACACTATTCTGGTCTGGGAAATACAAGATGCAACAGATTCCTTTTCTGCAGGTTTTCCTTCCTGCAGTAATGTGTAATGTTTAATGTAGTTCCCATTGTGGAATCTTTGTGTAGCATCCCCAAAACTTAAGCACTCAAGTTATGCTCACCTTTCTGGGGACTTGTGTCCTGTGTGTCTCCCACGGAGTCTCTGCTCTGGGCAGTGTCCAGGCACTCGGCTGTCTTTAGAGAGGCTGCACCATGGCCCGCCAGCATCACCTACAAGTCCCTGGTGGGAGCATGAACTTGACCTTCCTTGTTCCCAGGGCACGTGCCTAACCAAGTGCTCATGGACCACTGATCTCTGGGGTCACGGTGTTCTCTCTGAAGCGGGGAAACGTGGTCCAGGTCTAATAAGCCCACAGCCAGCCTCTTAAGGGCTGCTGCACTAGCACATCCTGGAGGATTTTAAACATCCGTTGTAGCCCCAGGTTACCTTAAAGAAAAGCCTAGGAGTCCGCTGACAAATTCAGTTCCCCTCTAGGTGAGTACAGCGGGGGAGGAGCACTCCACGATCAGTACTGGTGGATGTGATAGAAGGGAAGAGTCTTACACAGTGAACACTTACCCCTCCCCCAGTTCCTTAAACCTACCTTCCCATCGACGTTTCCAGAAGCGTGTCTGCAGGCGGTGACACCGTGGCCACCAGTGCTGGGAGAGTGGCTGTATCGCACCCCTTGCACCCACCCGGAACCTCCCACCCCACAAATCAAGTCCGCCTGTCACACAAGAAGTTTATTGAAAAATAAAGTTCTCCCTAGTTTTCTCTACGACAGTGGAAAATGAAGCAGTGCTCTCTACGCCCGTACAGTACATGTGATAGCAACACCTTATTGGCAGAGCCTTGCCTGACTTAACCCCGGGTGGACGGTAGAAAACGGCCGTACCAGGAGCTGGCTGAAGACACAGACGCGCATGGCCGTAGACACAGACGCGCATGGCCGTTACCTTACAGACAATGAGCGTGGGACAGCAACTACGGCAGAAAAGATGCCACCATCTCCTTTGGCATCGGTTGTCCCACCCGCATTTGTCCTGTTCATACCTGGCCTGGACAGGGAGCAAATGCTCCCTAAGTTTGCGCCATCTCAGCTTGGGCAGAGGTGGCCGACTGTGCTAGCTTCCTGTCCGGCTGTCCCAGGGAGACCTCCTGCAAGTGGTCTGAGCACCCAGGACCACACCCCCCAATGCCCCACACACAGGGCCCTGTGCCCCACATGAGCACACAGCTGCCCTCCATCCCTCTGCCCTGCCTCACCAGCTGCGGGGGCATAGGGGGTCATCTAAAGGCTCCACAAGATCTGGGGAAAATCGAGGAAATGCTTTGAAGAAGGTGCACTCCAATCTGACATCCACAGACATGTAAGATTGCTGATGGAGCTGAAGAGAATGCAAAGGATCTTAAAAAGATACCAACAAATTCCTCCATTTCCCACAAATGCAGTCTATCCAGAATAGCGCCAAAATAGGAGAGGAGATAAAAGCTGAGCCTATCTAGGGAAGTAAGAGGCTGACACCAACCCCACCCCCGCGAAAAAAAAAGCCAACTGACATTCAGGTGATTTGGAAAAACATCATTAAGCTAGGAGCAGCCTCTTGGAGTTCTGAAGAGCCCTTGCTCTCTCCACAAAACTAACCTTTAATTTGATAGAAACAGAACTAACCAGCCTGGGAGTCTGATTCTCTTGGACTGGACACTGGAGAAGCCGCCCTGGCCAGCAGGGGGCAGCCTAGGGACTTCCCGGGGAATGAGTGCCTTCAAGAGGTCATTCCTTTTCCCTTAAAAAAACAGAAACACCTCTATTATTGCATTTCAGAGGAAGATGGGTAACTTTAAGGGAACCGTCTGTCAGAGGATTTAATTTCCAGCTCAAAAAGTTCTGCACACACCCTGGAAAGGTCCAGAAGATGTCAGTGGGGTGGGGTCTGGCATGTGGCCACACTCTTCTGTCAAGCTGACTAATTCTTGCAGCCCAGTTCCACCTGGGGCTGAAGTCAGGCATATTTTCAAATCAGTCAGTGCATTCAGGGACACAGTACCATTTTAGCCAGCAGGGTGGACACAGGACTTGGGCATCTTAAACCTGTAATTCCTACAACATTCTATCAACTTGGAGTATCTTCCTGCACCTACAGGAATCAATGATAGGAAGTGAGCTCAGCTCTTTTTTTCCCTCAACTTTTATAAAATGTGAAAAACAACAATATTTAACATTTACTAGGACTTACTATATGCCAGACATTGCTAAACACTGAATCCTCACAAAACCCCTAAGTGCTAAGAAAGCTAGGGTAATTTTTTTTTTTCCTGCATCTGACACTAGACAGCTAATTTGGCCTTTTGCCATATAAACTTGGGTTTTCCATTTTTGTTGTTGAAGCCAACAAGAAGAAAAAGAACCCACCCTCCGCTTTAGGCAACTCCCACCTTCCTAGAGCAGCCTGAATCCCGACATCTGTCCGTCTCTTCCCGTGAAGATGCGCTGCAGCCGAGGGGACGGGCGGGATTAGAATGAAACCAATGTGGAAATGAAAATATTCTTCAATAAATAAAACATTCCAGGCTTGGGAGAGTAACACAACCACAGCCTGTCGTTAATAGAGCTTTTTTTAAAATCAAGAATTGGTGTGGGGGAGGGTGGGGAGGGTGGTGGGCGTGGGAGAGGGTGGCAATGTCCCAAATATGTATATATCATCTAGTAGGGAAACTGTCCCAGGGAGCGGGTGGCCTGAATGGCCTGGTCTAAAAAGCACAAACCCGCCCATAACAGCACAGTTTCTGCCTAACTGCTCACAATCACAGTTTTCCTACCAGTGAGCTGCACTGGGGCACCAAGGGAGTTTACTGGGAGGCTGACGTCTGCCAAGGAAGTAAAAACAGGGGGTGCATATTATTTCCCCTCATCCTGCTAGGGAGATAGAATGATTTGGGGCCAGTGCTTCCAACGAGCCCAGCAGGGCCTGCTTCCCTACACTGCAAGCCCTCACACAGGGTTGGTTCTCTGCCCCCGCCACCCTCTACCAAGCCCCAGGGTGGCACTTGTCAACCATCTGTCTCCAGACAAACCCAGAGACCTGGCCGAGCAGCCTGGGAGGGCGAAGGTCGGTCTGGAGGAAGTCAGCCCTCTTCTTGGGGGCTGCATGGGGGTGTCTGCGCACATATGCTGTGACCTGGGGAGCTTAGAGGGCATGTCTGGCGTCCAGCCTGGGTTGCCCTGTCTCGCAAGGACAGGTCCTATCTATCTCCAAGCTGGAAGAGTCTGCTAGCTTCCTTCAACAAAACCCGGATTCCAAACACCGACACCAGATTCCAAAAACCAATCCCAAAGAAAAGTGAAAAGGCACCTCAGAGAAACAATAAATATCACCAAAGAAAAGATGGCTTAATACTTACAAACATACAGCAGACACAAAGTAAAAAACCCAATCTAAGCAAGAACGCGAAAAGCTTCTCCAATTGTGCATGTGCAAATCAAACTGCATACCAGAAATAAATGAGGTGTTTACTGGCATGAGAAGTGTGTCTTCCCTTTCAGGAATTTTTACTCCTGAAAGTGTTTACATTTCAAAGGAAAGCTTTCTCTCCTTTAATAAATTAAACCTTTTCCCTCAAGTTTTGTTTAAGAACTTAGGATCACAGTGAAGGAAAAATAAATCCAAACTTTTAGGAAAAAATGTACAAAAAACTTAAAAACCAGGTAAGAGGTGAGAGATGCTCAGAGCACAGGAAGCTGCTAGTCCTGACTGGGGAGATCTCTCCCTGTGGAACTGTCATCAATTAACAAGGTGGTTCAGGATTCTATCAAGATTGGCACTGGCAAAACCACCCAAGGCTTCTAGCCCATACCGTGAAAGCTGCCGTCTTCTCCCAGAGCAGGCAGGAATCTCAGCCATGCTTGCACAGGGCAGATGGAGGCCCCACCCTAATGTCCTCTGGGGTCACTGACCAGACTCGGGCCAAGTCTGGAGGCCTGGGAACCAGTATACATTTGGTGTCGCCCCCTCTGCCCTCAACAACTGGAGTGTGGGTTTCTTTGCACCAGGAGCAGCAGCCACATCACCCCACCCTGGGATGGGGGGAGCAAGAAGGATCTTAAGGTGGGGAAGTGCTCCTTGGCTGCCTGACCGAGGGTCCTGGCGTGGAGGAGGCAGAGTCCCTGAGCAAAGGGGCAGCCGGCAAACGATCCCTGCAGCTTCTGGAACACAAGGCCGGCACAGCGTGTTTCTGAGAACCCGGCTTTCCAACCTCCTTGCTTTCCGAGTTCCTGGGCTTGTTCTAACAGATCTCTGCCAGATGGGCGAGTCTGGCAAAGCGTGGGAAACTGGTCTCGGCCCGCAGGCTCCCCCTGCTGGTCAAACACGGGCACGCACCTCCTCAGCACCAGAAACGGCCAGAAGGGCCCAGCAGAGGGCAGTGCTGGCCCAGGAACTGCAGGTCTGGGCGCTAAAGCGAATTCCCTCTAGGAAGGCTGCAGCCGGGAGGCCCGTTCCTAGGAAACAGTGGTTCCCAACAGCAGGGATGGCAGCTGTTTCCTCCCCCGGCAGGAAACTGTCCTCGTGAAGCGCTCAGAAGCACACGGGCACTCACAGCCTCTTGCCCAGTTTCCTTTCGACTTCTGCCCTTGTTTCTGTGCTCAGTCAGTTTGTGCGGGGTGGGCCCTGGCATCCCTGCTCAGCACGGAGGCTTCCCCAACAGAATTCTCCCTGGCACAGGTACTCGGGGGCCACCTATGGGGTGGGGGAGACCCTGGCTGCCCTAACTCCCCCACTCCCTTCTCTAAGATCCACTGAGGTTGGTCTAAGGAAAGAAGGCCGGCTGTGCATTTGATATCAATTTTATACCCAAGAAGAAGAATCGAGGAGTGGGTGGAATCTAACCTCCCATCCCTCACAGCCCCATGCTCCTCCTGGGTGGGCTTCAGACTTGAGAATTCTAACCTGAACCTTGCGTCCCAAAGGCCCATCCAGCCACTAGCTGTGTCCAGCTTTTCTGCTCAGCAACCAAGCCACTCAGAATCTTCAGTGAGGGCTGGGTGGCTCATGGGACAGCTTTCAAGGGGGACATTCTGCCAGAGAGAGAAGGGAGCTCACTCTTACCAGCACGGAGATGCCAGGGGCATCACAGGACACACACACACACACACACACACACACACACGTGCACGCGCAAAGCACTGAAGCACGGCGTGGGGGGAGGGGAGTGGGAAGGGGCTGGGGGAACTTGCGCAAGAGCAGAGCGCGGGGACTCCAGAGTTTGGTCCAACCTGCTCACCAGTTCAACACCCTCCTCCCCAGCATTTCTGCCTGGAGTAAAAGCCAGTATCAGATTCCTACCCCTTGCAAACCACACCCACACTCACAGTCAGCAGCCAAGACAGTGCACATTCACCCTGGCCTGCCCTTGCTCCCCAGCCAACATCAAAAGTTCACTGAGAGCCCCATCCCCTGGACTTCGGTGACATCAGACCGAGTGAATATGACACAAGCCCAGCTCAGGTGGCGCCGCTGGTTCTTAGGGACCAGCTTCGCTCCTGTCCAAATCGCAGTTCAAAGACGCCCTCAGATTCCAAAAACCAATCCCAAAGAAAAGTGAAAAGGCACCTCAGAGAAACAATAAATATCACCAAAGAAAAGATGGCTTAATACTTACAAACATACAGCAGACACAAAGTAAAAAACCCAATCTAAGCAAGAACGCGAAAAGCTTCTCCAATTGTGCATGTGCAAATCAAACTGCATACCAGAAATAAATGAGGTGTTTACTGGCATGAGAAGTGTGTCTTCCCTTTCAGGAATTTTTACTCCTGAAAGTGTTTACATTTCAAAGGAAAGCTTTCTCTCCTTTAATAAATTAAACCTTTTCCCTCAAGTTTTGTTTAAGAACTTAGGATCACAGTGAAGGAAAAATAAATCCAAACTTTTAGGAAAAAATGTACAAAAAACTTAAAAACCAGGTAAGAGGTGAGAGATGCTCAGAGCTAGTCCTGACTGGGGAGATCTCTCCCTGTGGAACTGTCATCAATTAACAAGGTGGTTCAGGATTCTATCAAGATTGGCACTGGCAAAACCACCCAAGGCTTCTAGCCCATACTGTGAAAGCTGCCGTCTTCTCCCAGAGCAGGCAGGAATCTCAGCCATGCTTGCACAGGGCAGATGGAGGCCCCACCCTAATGTCCTCTGGGGTCTCTGACTAGACTCGGGCCAAGTCTGGAGGCCTGGGAACCAGTATACATTTGGTGTCGCCCCCTCTGCCCTCAACAACTGGAGTGTGGGTTTCTTTGCACCAGGAGCAGCAGCCACATCACCCCACCCTGGGATGGGGGGAGCAAGAAGGATCTTAAGGTGGGGAAGTGCTCCTTGGCTGCCTGACCGAGGGTCCTGGCGTGGAGGAGGCAGAGTCCCTGAGCAAAGGGGCAGCCGGCAAACGATCCCTGCAGCTTCTGGAACACAAGGCCGGCACAGCGTGTTTCTGAGAACCCGGCTTTCCAACCTCCTTGCTTTCCGAGTTCCTGGGCTTGTTCTAACAGATCTCTGCCAGATGGGCGAGTCTGGCAAAGCGTGGGAAACTGGTCTCGGCCCGCAGGCTCCCCCTGCTGGTCAAACACGGGCACGCACCTCCTCAGCACCAGAAACGGCCAGAAGGGCCCAGCAGAGGGCAGTGCTGGCCCAGGAACTGCAGGTCTGGGCGCTAAAGCGAATTCCCTCTAGGAAGGCTGCAGCCGGGAGGCCCGTTCCTAGGAAACAGTGGTTCCCAACAGCAGGGATGGCAGCTGTTTCCTCCCCCGGCAGGAAACTGTCCTCGCGAAGCACTCAGAAGCACACGGGCACTCACAGCCTCTTGCCCAGTTTCCTTTCGACTTCTGCCCTTGTTTCTATGCTCAGTTTGTGAGGGGTGGGCCCTGGCATCCCTGCTCAGCACGGAGGCTTCCCCAACAGAATTCTCCTGGCACAGGTACTCGGGGGCCACCTATGGGGTGGGGGAGACCCTGGCTGCCCTAACTCCCCCACTCCCTTCTCTAAGATCCACTGAGGTTAGTCTAAGGAAAGAAGGCCGGCTGTGCATTTGATATCAATTTTATACCCAAGAAGAAGAATCGAGGAGTGGGTGGAATCTAACCTCCCATCCCTCACAGCCCCATGCTCCTCCTGGGTGTGCTTCAGACTTGAGAATTCTAACCTGAACCTTGCGTCCCAAAGGCCCATCCAGCCACTAGCTGTGTCCAGCTTTTCTGCTCAGCAACCAAGCCACTCAGAATCTTCAGTGAGGGCTGGGTGGCTCATGGGACAGCTTTCAAGGGGGACATTCTGCCAGAGAGAGAAGGGAGCTCACTCTTACCAGCACGGAGATGCCAGGGGCATCACAGGACACACACACACACACACACACACACACACACGTGCACGCGCAAAGCACTGAAGCACGGCGTGGGGGGAGGGGAGTGGGAAGGGGCTGGGGGAACTTGCGCAAGAGCAGAGCGCGGGGACTCCAGAGTTTGGTCCAACCTGCTCACCAGTTCAACACCCTCCTCCCCAGCATTTCTGCCTGGAGTAAAAGCCAGTATCAGATTCCTACCCCTTGCAAACCACACCCACACTCACAGTCAGCAGCCAAGACAGTGCACATTCACCCTGGCCTGCCCTTGCCCCCCAGCCAACATCAAAAGTTCACTGAGAGCCCCATCCCCTGGACTTCGGTGACATCAGACCGAGTGAATATGACACAAGCCCAGCTCAGGTGGCGCCGCTGGTTCTTAGGGACCAGCTTCGCTCCTGTCCAAATCGCAGTTCAAAGACGCCCTTCTCAAGGGGGTAAAGAGCACCACCTCCAAGTGCAAGGGTAGCCTGTAATCCTAACCAGAAATGACAGCCAAGCTGTGTGGGGGGTGTTCCACCTCGGGGGAGCGATGGAACGACAAAAGGAGCCTGTCACTGCAAAGCAGCCCATCTCTGGCCCCTGCTGGGCTCTCTGGACCACACAGGCATTTCCCTGGACAGCCAGGGGGTGTCTATCCCCTAGCCTCCGCCACCTGCTAAGCACAAGGAATTTCTTTTCTTCTGCCACCATCCACTTTGAGGAGCTAGGTAGCCACAGCTGCCCTTAATCATGCCACCAGCCCGACGGCGCACTCTGCCCAAAGCAGACAACAGTCATGTTATAGTGAAGAGGGATGGCCAACAGAGGAAAATCAGAGAAGTAGCAAGACGCGCAATCAATCCCTCTTTGCCCTCCCCAGCTCCCCCTCCCTCCCTCCCAAATAAATAAATTAATGGGTTTAGGAATGTTCCCGGAGAAGTTCTTTCCAACTAGCTTGATTCCTCCTCTGGTTTTGTTTCGTTTAAACGAATATTGAGATTCCTTTTTTTTTACCCTGGAGCAGCTGCACAGTCTCCCTACTGTAGCTCCTCCAAAATTAAAGACGAAGTTGTGCCAGGGAGAAGCCAGGTTCCCGGCCTGAGGTTGGCTCTCGTTTTGTTTTGGTGAGAGCTCCGCTGTGATGCTCTAACTGCAGCGGGACCAGTACCAAATCGAGACCTTCCACCAAAACGTTCAGGCTCTGGGGAGAGTCCCTGAATGGCGTCTGTGTCTCCGCCCCATCCTGGTGGGGCTGGAGCCGCTGTCTCCCCCCCACAGAGCGTGGGCGCGGGTGGAAAGGCGGCGCTATAGACAGTCTTTACAGAGAGCCACCTGGCCCTTGATGAAGTCCCGGCAGGGGCAGATCCTCCGGTGGCGGGCGTGGGCGCCGGCACAGCTGAACAGCAGGAGGTCGCCTTGAAACACACAGTGCTTGTTCTTGGGGTCGAAGGAGGGCGCCACGATGTCCTTGGCCAGCTCTGAGCTCTGGCAGTTCACCTCGTACCTGAAGAGGAAGAGGAAGGGGTTGGAGAGGCAGGGACCGTCCTCAGCCCTGGCTGCTTCTACCATCCTCCAGTGGGGAAGGCTGTTTGGGGCCCCTGTTGACCACCCTCTGACCCAGCCATCCTCACCGCTGGGAACCCGGGCTCGAGAAGGGCATGTGAGCGCCTGGATGTGGTTGCAGTGTGTGTTCAAGGCTGCTTAGGGAAGCGCTGTCCGTCACAGAGAAGAACTGGAAATAACCTGAAGACTCAGCACGCGGGGAACGGCTGGGTCCCCTGTGGCTCAGCTGTGTTATCAGGGTCACACGCAGCACTTGACAAGGAGGTCAGGAATGCGACCACCAAGCATGAGAGCAAGTAATAACTGGGGGTGCAGTGTATCTACGTGTGTGTGCGCGTGTGCACAGACAGAGTAAGTGTGGGAGGGAGAGCGAGGGGGGGAGAGAGGGGGAGAAGAGAGAAAATGAGAGGGAGACAGGAAGAGGGAAAGAAAGTAGCGCAGGTACACTGAAGACTCAACAGTGGTTACTTCTGAGAAGTGAGACTGGGACAATGATATGCATCATTTAAATACTTTTTTAGAACATTTTAAAACCATGTCTGTTTTTAAAACTAATGCTTAGAGAGATGTCTGTTGTATGACCTTAGTCTCCCGCTGGAGAGCAATCAGATGGTCTCCTGGGCATGGTGTGTCCAGGTGCCTCAATTCATGGGACCTTTGCAGCCGCCTTCCACGACTGTGGCAACAGAATGTCCTACCACACACCCCGGTCCCCGGCCCCTGAGGGCTGTGGATGCGCAGAGCAGGGACTGAGTCCAGGCCCTGATCCCAAGCCCATGTTCTTGCTCCTCCCCCATCTTCTCCCACCCGTCTGGCTGTGGGCTGCAGACCCCTGGGGTTTTGCTTCCTCAGACTGAAACCCCCACCTGGGGGGCTCAGGAGAANGCCCATTTTTAAGCTAATACCTGAGAGTCTTGTTTTTAAGAGCCTCTTGTCTTAAACAGAAGCCAGCAAACTGTGCTTTGTGGCTAATTGTTATTATAGTATTAGCTTCTGGTTAATCTGGGGGGATTAACTTGATAGTGCTTGTTTTACATGAAGGGGTGAAATTATTTTACTTTTTTAGGTAGTTTATGCTTGTGTGTGTGTGTGTGTGTGTGTTGGGGGGTGTCCACTTAGTCATGTCTCACTCTTTGCAATCCTTTGGACTGGAGCCCACCAGGCTCCTCTGTCCATGGGATTTTTCAGGCAAGAATACTGGAGTGGGTTGCCATTCCCTTCTCCAGATCATCTTCCTGACCCTGGAATCGAACCTGCATCTCCTGTGCTTCCTGCACTGCAGGTGAATTCTTTACCCACTCACAGGGGGAAAACACGGGGATTAAATTAATGTTTACAGAGCAGCTGGCAGAGTCCAGCTCTGAGTAAGCATTCAACGCATGAGAACTAGCATGATCACTCCCGCTGGTCGATGCTGGGTGGACTGCCACCTTCTGCCCTCACCCCACACTGTGAATTTACACACATGCCAAGTATCTCCATTTTGCTTTGTTCTCAGAAGTCCTGATTCTTGCTGACAGGGAGGGGATTCGGGCGGGGAACCTGAGGTTTCCTGCCACTTCTGGAAAGCTTCCAAATGTTGGGAGAAAAGCATCTGACCCCCACCCCCACCCAGTGTTAATCCTGCCCGCTCGTCTTCCTTGAGCCAACTAACTGCCTGGGCCCACCTGCCCCCTTGCTGGCACTAATCTGTGATTTCCAGTGCATCTCCTGGGCTTCTGGTGAGTTCTCCAAGGCCTCCAGCCCAGCTCCTGGCTCTCAGGAGGGCAGCGCCCCCTCCGGTCCTGCTCTTGCAGTCTCCAGGGAGCTCTGTGACTTCTCTAAGTGGCCTAACACCTCCTGATGTTTGGTGTGCCTGCTGGGAGATGGAAGCACCCAGAGGATTAGGGTCATGGCGAGGGCAAGGAGCTGGGGGCTCCATGGATTTCCTAAAGGAAACACAAGTCAGAGTCAGGGCCCACCTGGTCCTGCCTGTTTCCTGGCCAACACTGAAAGCGGGTCTCCAGAGCCCAGCTGGGTGTGAAGTTTCCACATGGAATGTGGCCTTGGGATCCAGATTTGTGCTTATGCTATTGATGTATTTAGGTGAATCACGGCAGCTGCTGTGTCTTAACGCAAGCCATCTGCCTGGCACACCTCTCATTAGGGGTGTGAAGTCTCCAGAATTCATCTCGGACCCTGTGGCAAGTGGGAGGGACTGTCAAGAGACAGTGAGAAACAGGCCTGCTCCTGGCCTCCTAGCCTTGGACTCCAGGCCCAGCGTACCAGGGTGTGAGCATGTGCCCATGGCCACAAGGCTGCAGCAGCAGCCTGTCCGAGGCCGATGTCCAAGACCACTGCAAAGCGCGGCGGGCGGTCCCCGGAGCCACGGGTGACATGGCCCAGCAAGCTCCCCAGAGGCTCAGCTGAGTGGTGGGGGGGCCACCCTTGGGTGCGACCCAATCCCTGGCCTGGGGTCTCTGTCCCACAGCCCCGGGCCTGCAGAGAGGCCCCTCGAGCATCCTTGCTGAGCTCAGCAGGGGGTGGGGACCTTCCCAATCGCTGGAGCACATCCTCACCCCAACGTGGTGCCTTGCTTCTTCAGGGCGTGTGTGCTGCTGTCCTGAGTCTGTTCCTAGCATGTCTGTCTTGCCCGCCTGGGCGTACACACACACACGCACACACACCCACACACACCCCCCTTGTGCTGTTTCCATTCTGCAGCCCCTCGGGTACTCGCCCCTCTCTAACTGCCCTCAACGGCTTCACTCACAGGATGGGATGGGAACTGGGGCTTCTGAGGCCCTTCAGCCCTCGCTGGAGAGCTTAGAGCTCTTGAAACAGAAGAAAAAGGCAAGGTCTCCCCCTCCCCATGGGGACACCTATTTCCCAAGAGGACAGAAGCCCCGCAGCCCTCTCCACACGCAGACCCACACGGGATAAAAGGAAGGAAGCCGGGCCCCCTCTGCGGGTCTCCTCCTTCCCCTCCCTCTTCCCCCCACTCCACCTTGCTAATCCCAACCCCGTATCCACCAAGTCTCCCCAGGCTCACTAGTCACCACTCTGGCACTGAGGCACCACAGTGCTCACAATCCAGGCTCCATGGCTTAGAATTCCTCTTAAAAAAAAAAAAAAAAAAACAAAACCCACCCCAAACTCAATAAATTAATACTTTAGAGGATACAACTTGTAAAGGTAGCAACATTACAAAGGAGATATTCCACTAACATGTGTTTCTGTTTCTGGGGGTGAGGTGCTCCCCCCGGACCCCATCAGCATGGACTCCGGCTCTTTCTAGGACCTCTGTCCTCTGACCTCTCAGGGCCTGGTCTGGGTCAAGTCAGGTTGCACCTGAATCATGCGTGCTCTGGGCTTCGTGGTCACCTCTCCGTCACTCCCAGAGCCCAGCCTGAGCAGGAGCTCCACGACCAGCTGCCTGACTCCCCGAGTCAAGACGACAGCATGGGACACTTGACACCTGTCGTATCATGTCACACTGTGTGGCGAGGACAGGCCGGGGACACCCGGAGACGGAGAGGAGCTTCCACTCGGAGCCAGGCCCCAAGCTGGAGGGGAAACAGCAGCCTGGGCTCAGAGGAGGCGCTCGCCGCTGAGTGGCCATGAATATGGATCAGCCGGGACGGCCGCGCTGGGGAGGCACTCGGCAGACTTGCCAGAGCGCTGTGATGTTATCAGTATTTACCAGTGCAGAAACAAAGGTGTTCAATAGGGCTCTCCTGTTCAGAAAATTAATTTCAGGTGGCTCTGTTGCAAAATTAGCATGTGCGGCAGCCTCCTAGGGAGAAAACCCACAGATCTTCAAGGGGCTAGGTGGGTGGGGGCTGCTGAGTCATGCCTCGGCAAAGGGTCTGGCCCAGGGTAGCCCCTCACCCAGGCCTTCTGCTGCCCTGGGCTCGGCCTGGGGCACGGGATTGCCGGTGGGGGGCGGGGTGGGGCTTGAGGTGGGGCCGGGGCACTGGCTTTTCTGGTCACAGCCCGGTGACTTCAGGCCTGCTCCGTGGCCCAGGCTCCCGGAAAGAAGGACTGTGCTGAGCACAGGCTCACCATCACTGCGGCTGTCCCCATTCCACAGGCGGGAAGACTGACAGAACAGAGGAAATGGGCCCACTGGCTCCCCTTCCGGTTCCCCTGCAGGCTCAGCGGGACCCTGGGCTCTCTTAGCCGGGCCCTGACTCTCCTGGAGCCCTGCCCCCGGCCTGGCCAGGAAGGCCCATGCCTCTGAGCTGTCCCATCAGGGTTCCCTCCTCCAGAGGCAGGCGAGGCTACCTCTGCCCGTGGACATTTGACAGTCTGTCCCTAGTGACGCCAGACTTCCTGTCAGACAGAGGGAGACACTCAAGGTTCTCAGGAAGCCACCTTCGTACAGGAGTGGCCTGCAACAGGGGTGAGTGGGAAGCTCCTCCTGAACTTAGAATTGGGGACACGTGCTCTGGAGGTAGAAGCTTCTAGCACCACAGACATCAGACCAGCGCTGCCTCTCACATGGCATCACCGCTGCAAAGCAGGATGCCGACCCACTCTGCTGGTCTGGCCTCTATTCTGCTGGTGGAATTGAGGCCACCTCTGATCCTGGTCTTCATGTTAAAAAAGAAATACGAGAAAAAATAGCATCCCCCGAGTCCCTACTCAGTAAAGGAGCCCTGCAGGCAAGATGCTAGAGATCACGTTTCCTCTCTGAAAAGGGTTTTACACCTTATTACTTGAGGTGAGCATAATAAGGCTTACAGGCAGGGCCAGGCCAGCTCAGACCACTGTGCCCAGATAGATGCAGTGGCCAACTGTGCTCCAACAGGGTGTGAAGCCAGAATGGAGACCTGTGAGCCTGGAGCCCCGAGTCCACTCTGTTCCTAAGACTGGGGCAGGGGCTTCCCTGGTGGCTTGGGTGGTAAAGAATCCCCCTGCCATTGCAGAAGACACAGGTTCGATCCCTGGCTGGGTGGGAACCCACGTGCAAGCCCTTGTACCACAACGACTGCATCTGTGCTCCAGAGCCCGGAAGCTACCAGCTACTGAGCCCGTGTGCCTCGGAGCAGCGAAGCCCAGGCTCCACAGCTGCTGAAGCCCGAGTGCCTGGAGCCCCTGCTCCACAAGAGAAGTCACTGCAATGAGAAGCCCGTGCACCACAACTAGAGACTCGTCCTCGCTCGCTGCAACGAGAAAATCCTGTGAAGCAACAAAGACCCGGCACAGCCAATAAATAAGTAAAAAAAAAATAAAGACTGGGACCTAACTGCTGCTCTGCAGAATATCTGGGGTTGGGAGAACAAATCCCCTCGGGGAAAATACCACATTAGAGCTATTAAGGTTGGGAGGGAGGTGACAGGTAATTAACTAGGTTGTGGCCCAGTGAGTGAAAGTCGCTCAGTGGTGTCCAACTCTTTTCTCCAGGCCAGAATACTGGCGTGGGTAGCCTTTTACCTCTTCAGGGGATCTTCCCAACCTGGGATCGAACCCACATCTCCCTCATTACAGGTGGAATCTTTACCAGCTGATTCATAAGCCCAGGGTGGGTGCGATAAACATCGAGGCACAAGTTTAGCCCTGACTGAGGTCATGAGTCAGAGGCCAGAAGAAACGTCACATGAAAATTTGGAAAATGCAAACACCAAACTCAATGCCACCACAAAAGGAAATGAACGGAGTTAATGAAATTAATGGTTCCCTGGTAGCTAAGTGGTAAAGAACCCGCCTGCCAATGCAGGAGACGTGGGCTCATTCCCTGGGTCTGGAAGATGCCCTGGAGAAGGCAACCCATTCCAGTATTCTTGTGTGGAGAATCCTATGGACAGAGGAGCCTGGCAGGCTATAGACCACGGGGTTGCAGGGTTGAACATGACTTATCAACTAAACAACAACAACTGTTAGTAACACAAGCAGCACAAGGCGAGCAATGCCGGCGAGAGAAGACCCCGCTGGGCGACTCTGGGCTGTAATTCCAGTGCTGTGCCCACCACCCTGCTCGGGGACCCTTGGGGACTCGGTAGTGCCAGGCTCACAGCCGCTGGCATGCACTCACTCCAAAACGGCTGAAGTAAAGTACAAAGGGGACGGGGCTTCAGGAGGGCAGGGCGGCAGTGGATTTGCTGTGGGCAGTTCTGTGCCAGCTCCTTGCCCATATTTTTCATTCCTTCCTGACTCCAGGGTTGAAGACTGTCACTCTGCTAGATGCCATCTGGGGACCAGGCTTCAGCCTGGGACCTCAGGGGCGGGTCCGTCCATGCTTGCGGTTCTGGGCCCATCTTGGCTCTTATGCTTCTTGGGTACGAATTAGCTAACTGACACCTCCTACCATCTCCAAGCCCAGAGCTGGCATTATTTATGCACATACAACACCCCCATTTGAATTCTAAATGTATCAGCAGGCCAGGGGACCTCATCTACCTAACAGTAAAAATGCTAGGCCAACTTTCTCTGGGTAGGGGGAGATGTGGTGTGACCCGCTCCTTCTCCACAATTTATTCCAACAGCCCCTGAACCTAGAGCCTAGAAACGCAAACTTCAATCCAACTCTAAGCCCGAGGCGAGCTGGAGGTGGGGCCGCCCCTCCCGCGCTCCGGCACTTACTTCAGCAGGTCCTTGTCCTTGTTGAGATGCTGGAAGAAGGACGGCTCACAGATGAGCTGGTTCTCCTGACACGCTTGCTTGCAGGACTGCCCGGGCTCAGCAAATTTTACCTGCAGGGCACTCAGGGGCGGCCACATCACTTGCCCGTGGCAGAAGTCCTAGAATGACAATGAAACTGTCAGGCAAGGGACCAGGGATGCAGGTGGGGGATTCCCCAGTCTGCCAACCAGTCCCAACAAGCTGGGGCACCGGCTGTGCGAGACTGGAGACGGGCAGTGGATGGGAGCCAGACGGGCTTGGGTTGGCATCTCAGCTAGAACACGGCCTTGGCCTTGCCACCTCTACTCACCAGCTTCCTATGCCCAGCACTGTGCCTGCCAGTAACGGGCTATCCCTTCATGTTCATGATGATACAGTCGAGCTATTTAAAGTCTCCGCCCTTGAAGGCCCATCTCCAGGCCCACGTTCACCAGCTGTTCCATTCCCTCCGCCCTAATTCCTAAGACATTTTCAGTGACTACCTAATCTGACACAGAATTTAACAACGGTTACCTAATATAACACTGTTTTCTGAGTGCTAGTTTCAACTCAGGGAAGCAAAAGAGGTCTGTAGGTCTCTGGAATAGAACCTATCGGGGGGACATGGTCTTGATAGAAGCTCAGCTGGTTGGAACAAGTATAACACAAATTCAATCGCTAGAGAAGCTGTCTGAGGATGTGTGATAGAAGGTGAAGTAACCTGGTACCCCCTGAGAGGAGAGGCACCCGGAGGCAGGGAAGGTGGGGGTGTGCTCAGGATGGGGCTGGTCGGTCATTCCTGGGATCTACTGGGAGCGGAGGAAATGCACATGTCCAAGGGAGTCACGGGCAGGGAGGACCAGGAGGAAATGCGTGCAGCAGGCATAAGCTGAGCAGTGAGGAGAAAGGGATCAGGGATAGGGCAGGTGAGGAGCGGGAACTCTCCCCGACCTGGGACCCCAGCTTTCGTCTCAGCCATGCCAGGAGCAAGTCTGAACAGGTACCAGGGGTGGGAACTCAGGTACCGCTGGCACCCAGAGCCCGCTCTGCTTAAATGTTGCTGATGGAACCCGAGTTAAAGCCCTCCAAATCCCTGAGCCATCCAACCTGCAAAAGAAAAGCTGTGTTTGTGTAACTTCTTTTGGGGTGGGCTAGCCCTTGGGGTGCCCAGTGATGGCTAGGATCCTGAGCTCTCAACTCTACTTGGAGGAATTCACTGCAGACATATGGGACACATGGGGCAAAGAAACCTACTCAGGACACAGGGAAACGTAAGCAATGTTGTTGAGAGGAGAAGTGGAAGACTTGAAACAAACTAAAGGCTGTATATAAACAGGTTGTGTTTAAACACCGAGAGCCAGACATCATGGAGTGTGAAGTTAAGTGGGCCTTAGGAAGCATCACCATGAACAAAGCTAGTGGAGGTGATGGAATTCCAGCTGAGTTATTTCAAATCCTAAAAGATGCTGCTGCTAAAGTGCTGCACTCAATATGCCAGCAAATTTGGAAAGCTCAGCAGTGACTACAGGACAGGAAAAGGTCAGTTTTCACTCCAATCCCAAAGAAAGGCAATGCAAAAGAATGTTCAAACTATCACACAATTGCTCTCACCTCACACACTAGCAAAGTAATGCTCAAAATTCTCCAAGTCAGGCTTCAAAAGTATGTGAAACAAGAATTTCCACATGTTCAAGCTTGATTTAGAAAAAGGTAGAGGAACCAGAGATCAAATGGCCAACATCCATTGCATCATAGAAAAAGCAAGAGAATTCCAGAAAAATATCTACTTCTGCTTCATTGACTAAGCCAAAGCCTTTGACAGTGTGGATCACAACAAACTATGGAAAATTCTTAAAGAAATGGGGATTCCAGGCCACTTTACCTGCCTCCTGAGAAACCTGTATGCAGGTCAAGAAGCAACAGTTAGAACCAGACATGGAACAATGGACTGATTCCAAATCAGGAAAGGAGTACGTCAAGGCTATATATTGTCACCCTGCTTATTTAACTTATAAGCAGAGGATATCATGCAAAATGCCAGGCTGGATGCAGCACAAGCTGGAATTAAGATTGCCAGGAGAAATATCAATAACCTCAGATATGCAGATGACACCACTCTTATGGCAGAAATAAAGTGGAACTAAAGAGCCTCTTGATGAAAGTGAAAGAGGAGTGAAAAAGCTGGCCTAAAACTCAATATTCAAAAACCTAAGATCATGGCATCCAGTCCCATCACTTCATGAGAAATCAATGAGGAAACAAGAGAAACAGTGACAGACTTTATTTCTTCCAAAATCACTGCAGATGGTGACTACAGCCATGAAGTTAAAAGACACTTGCTCCTTGGAAGAAAAGCTGTGACAAATCTAGACAGCATAAAAAAGCAGAGACATTACTTTGTTGACAAAGGTCCATCTAGCCAAAGCTATGGTGTTTCCAGTAGTCACGTATGGATGTGAGAGCTGGACCATAAAGGCTGAGTGCTGAAGAATTGATGCTTTTGAACCGTGGCATTCGAGAAGACTCTTGAGAGTCCCTTGGACTTCAAGGAGATTAAACCAGTCAATCCTAAAGAAAATCAATCTTGAATATTCATTGGAGGGACTGATGTTGAAGCTCCAATACTTTGACCACCTGATGCGAAGAGCTGAGTCATTAGAAAAGACCCTAATGTTGGGAAAGATTGGAGGCAGGAGGAGAAGAGGACGAGATGGCTGGATGGCATCACTGACTCGATGGACATGAGTTTGAGCAAGCTCTGGGAGTTGGTGATAGACAGGGAAGCCTGGTGTGCTGCAATCCATAGAGTCGTAAAGAGTCAGACACCAGTGGCTGAACTGAAGTGAAACAATCTAAAGGTTGTATTTAAACAGGTTCAGATACAAAAAAAACCCAAGCAATGTAATAGGTTACTATGCCCTGACATGGAAACATCCCCAGTGCAAACTGAGAAGGGAAAAAAATAGGTTGAATGTGGGTATATAGTGTGTTTCCATTTGTGTCAATATACATAATCAGGCCTGTGTTCCTATAAGAATATTTCTGGCACCACTAAGAAAAGGAAATGGGTAACAGGGTTGGGGATCATCAGGGAATTTACTTTTCAATGCATGTCCTTCTGGAATATTCTTTTTCCTCTTGCTTTCTCTCTATCCTCTTTGTGGATGGGGAGCTGGCTAACTATCTCAGGCTTTCAGAACTGGAGCCAGCAGGGACAGGTTCCACGCTCCTCCTGTTGGTCACGTGGAGCATTGCAGGACTGGGCCCTGCAGGGTCCCTGAACAGTGAGAATGCAGGCCAGAGACGCATCCAGGGGGCCCTGCTATGCTGTTTGCATTTTTCCTCTTTCAAACCTCAGCTTCCTCATCAGAAAAATGTAGATGATGAAACTGATGATTTCCTATGGTTCCTGCTTCTCCCCACTTCCTTGCTGAAGGAGGTGATGCTATTACACATAGAGGAAGGTAACTGGCAAGTAGGCTTCTATTCCAGTCTCCTCATCAGGGCTTGGGATCCCACCAGTAAGGTGAACTTGCTGTCGTCTCCCACATTACATTGTCATGTGAGGCTGTGCATGCTTGAGACTGAGTGAGTGCGTGCTCAAGTGGCTTTCGACTCTTTGCAGTGCCATTGACTACAGCCCGCCAGGCTCCTCTGTCCGTAGGATTCTCCAGGCAAGAATACTAGAGTGGGTTATCATTTGCTCCTCCAGGGGATCTTCCCAACCCAGGGATCCAAACCCTCCTGCATCTCCTGCATTGGCAGGCAGGTTCTTTACCACTAGCGCCACCTGGGAAGCCCAAGTGAGTTTGGGGCTTAACAGATAACTTCACAGCGTGAGGTCAGGAAACCTAGAGCCTGAATTTGTATCAGCTGACGGCAGAAGATTCCAGAAGGGTCTAATAATTCAGAGATGAAAGAAATGCACTGGTTTAATAGGATCCAGTTTAAGGTTTTGACAGTGCTACAGGGCAGGAGAGTAAGCAGAGTGTCCTCCTATCTCACAGCCCAGGGCTGGAAGACCTTGTCTAGGTCTTCAGATTTGTGATCATCTTCAGCATAATCCATGGAGTTGCTAAGACTGGTGTAACACAATTATTTCGGTCTGGACACTGTTACTAAGGGTGACAGCATGATGGCAGACCCGGGCACCTGGAATGGGAGCCCTGAGTGTTCACTGGTGGCTGTCACTCTCTAACCAGGCAGCATATGGAAACTTACTGGCTGAACTTTGAAAATATGTCCATCAAATAGGAAGGAAGATGCATGATGATCAACATAGTTATTGCTGATCAAAGCTGAGCATGTACATGGATATTTGGAAAAGGCTAAGCATTGGTTTTTTGGTTTGTTTTTCTGGCTGGCTACTGTAAGCAAAAGAACTGATGCTTTTGAACTTTGGTGTCGGAGAAGACTGTTGAGAGTCCCTTGGACCTCAAGAAGATCAAACCAGTCCATCCTAAAGGAGATCAGTACTGAATATTCATTGGAAGGACTGATGCTGAAGCTGGAGCTCTAATATTTTGGCCACCTGATGCAAAGAGCTGAGTCATTAGAAAAGACCCTGATGCTGAAAGATTGGAGGCAGGAGGAGAAGGGGACGACAGAGGATGAGATTGTTGGATAGCATCACTGACTCAATGGACATGAGTTTGAGCAAGCTCTGGGAGTTGGTGATGGATAGGGAAGCCTGGCATGCTGCAGTCCCTGGGGTTGCAGTCAGACATGACTGAGCGACTGAACTGACTGACTGTAAGCAACTTTGCCTATAAGTCTTTAGGAGAAATCTGATAGTGTTTACAGCCATTAAGTATTATAATAAAGAGATTCAAAGTCTAACGGACACCAAAGCCTACTGTGTGACTGTATACAGCAGGCAAACAACTAGGAACCCTGGATCACTGGACACCATGACAGCTGAAGATGCAAATGCTGGCTTTTACAGCTTGGTAAGAACACTGCAGAACGTCCCTCCTACAGGCAGTGAGAGCTGAGGGTGGTGTCTACACCTGCAGAGTCTGGTGGACTCTTCAGAGACTGCTTCTTATTCATTCTGAGCCTCACGTGGTTATGCGACACAGTCCAAGGGATAAAACTGAAATGGGGAGAAAGATTCTTCCTTGTTAAACTGGGAGGTGGT